AGTACTGTGCAGACCCTCGAGTTGGCTGCAGGGTCCATTGCTGCCATTTGGCAGGGGAAGGGGAGAGTAGGAAAAGCGCAAGGGGGATATGGACAGTTGTGTTGTCTTCCTCGATGGCTACCGATATTGGGGTGGGTTTTGTCTCCTTTTTCAGTACCGTCCGCTCCCCCCGAGCAGCGCAGGGATGAGGTTACTTGGGCAGGTGGTCCAGCAAAATGTTGGGTGAGCATGGACATTGCTGTGACCCAGCGTCATTAATGCTCTAACACTACCTTTCTCTGGCTCCTTCAGGTCACTTGTTTGTTGCTCTCCTCTCTCGGGCAGAAATAGCCTGTCCTTGCTTTCCTGTGGAGCCGTTTAAGCTGTGTCCCTCTTCCTAATCGTGCGTCTGCACTAAGCATTGTTAGCTGCCAAATGCATCTCAGAGATCCTTTGACAAGAGCCCCCTAACAAGCACCCCAGAGGGTTGATATATATCAGATGTCCAGGTCTTTGCTGGCGGAAGGGGACTTTGCTGGTTCCCTAGCTCCCTAACGCTGTCCCTTCTGTTTTGCAGGAACAGAGGAAGTGGTCTTTGGGAAGGTTGGAGGAAGCATCCTCCTTTTATGCCGAAATGTCTCCAGAGAAGCAACCGAGGTGGTCTGGTTTCAAGGGGATCCGCACACATTCCCCCCACTCCTCTCCTCAATGGTCGCCTTCCCCCCGGACGTCCGTTTCTCCCTGGTTGACAACAGCTCTCTGCGCATCACAGAGCTGCGTGTGCAGGACGAAGGCAACTACACTTGCAAGGAAGTGCTGAACAAGACGGACCATGAGCACAGGGTCCAGCTCCTGGTAGCCAGTAAGTCTGCATCTATGAATTTCCTCCCCTAAGTCTCCTCATCTGGCACTAGTGGAAAAATAATGTAAAAAGGGGCAAGGTGGTCTTACTGTGCAAAATCTGTGAGCGGGCTGATACTACTCAATTACACATTCGCTCACAAGCAGAGCGATGTGTGTCCAAATGGTCTGGCAAGGATCAGTTGTGTGTGATGCAGAGGATGGGATGCCAGCTGTTAAGCCCTCATATGTCACTTCCTTCTTCATTGGTGATGATAAACCAGTTTTTGAACAGGTCTTTCATATCTTGTAGCTGTTCCAGAGTGGCCCTTTGCCTCAGAATCCAGCTGACTTGAGCCTTTCTAAATCTTCAGGTGTGGGTTGCTGCTCACCGTCTTTTTTCCCTTGGTTGAAATACATGTTTGAAATAGATGTGCTATGCCGTTCCTTGTTGCCATCCTTTTACTGTGAGGATGGAGGGTCCTCAGCTGATGAGTTGTCTGTGCTGAGTCTTAGAGTGCAGCCTTCCAATTTTGATAGAAACACCGTGTTCCTCAAACGTAGTGCTGGGAGCACTGTCCTGGGAGCGTGCCTGTTGTTATCAGCACAGGCCATTCTTTCAGCCTTTTTTTCCTGTTGTGTGTTCTGGTGTTTACTCCCATTTCGATCCCTATTTCATTCTTTCATTCTCTTAGAAATCTTCACAGCTCTGGTGGAAGATTAGGCTGGAGAGCGTTCAAGTCGATGACTTTGCACACTGCTGATGCAGGTCCTTCCTGCTTCTGCCGGGGAATCGTTATCTTGCCCAGATGTCCCATCTCTTCTGTGGGAACAACCCCCTCCAGACGAGCAGGGAGCGCAGGTCCTGTGGCTGGTACCACTCTTGGCCCCTTCACCATGTCTAATCAGATGTAACCCAGGGTCTGGCCCCTCAGACCTGGGCTGTGACCTGCTGTCCTTTATGCCAGCCAAGCCCATATTATAGGGTTAAGAAGAAGGAAAGACTGCTGCCAGTTTGCCTTTTTCGGTGGCACTCTGTGCTCTGTTGGCCCCTTCGTTTCTTGCTGGTCTTTCCGTCAACACCTGCTGTGCTTGAGACCTGTTTTCTGTTTGCATTTAGGGTGTTCCTTCCTTCTCGTGTTTGGTGAAGGGTACGTGTTGTAAAAGCTGTACCTGTTTTGTACAGATTAAATCTCTGTAAGTTCACACGAGTAAAAATTCCCTTCCTGGGGCAAGGAACCTGTAGATGGCATTTGGAGGGTCACGGAGGGCTGGAGCGAAGGAATTGAACCCCAGGCTGCTTCAGAGAATATATATGTAGGTGTGGGGCTTAGGAGGGGAAGCCCTAAAGCCGGACCATTGGTGCAAAACACTCATGAGCAAAAGATATCTATGGCATGCCAAGAGTTGGTACTGCACTCTGAACTTCATTTATTAGCGTGGAATTAATGTGTCAATTAACTTCCAAAGGTTACAAAGGTGATATGGGACAGTGGTGTGCTCTTAAATAGGCAAGAGCAGCATCAGCAAAGACCAGAAGTTGCAGCTTCTCAACCTCAGACTGGAAGCATGGGCCCTGATTTTTCAGTCACTGTTACTGGAGCAACTTAGGCTGGCTGGACTGAACCTCTCAGACACAGACTTGGCACCGCTGTAAAAGAGCCACCCAGGATCTGTGGGCTTCATGTGGGAGACACCAGTTGACAGTCTTCAACCCATCTCGTGGGTTGTACCAAAAAGTTCTCTTTTTGCTTAAAACTGCATTTAAAAAACCGCAGGCAGTAGAGGAAACATTCTAGCAACACGACACAGGTGCAGCCTTGCCTCAAGCTGCTGTTCTGTGTTTGTTTTGGATAGGAAGCACGGTGTGAAGGAAATGTGCGATTGCATTCCTTGGGATTCCTTGGTACGTTTGTGTGCAATTTGATATAAGCCGCTGTTGGCTCTTCTGTAGGCATGAGGTCCTTTTTGCTGGTGTTTTGTGAGGTTTTTTTGGTTGCAGAGGGTGGGAGGTTTTTAGGTTTTGGGTTTTTTGACGTTTTGGAAACAGATCTCCCGTTAGCAATTTGACAGAAGAGCAGAGTTGTACTGGGAGAGCCTGGGAGTTCAGGATGTAAAGCTGATGGCTTCAGGAGGCAGGTTCCTGGAATCAGCACAAAAAGTGCAGCTCTCTGGCTGCACGTCTGAAAAGGCTGTGTCCGCCTCTCGACACGGGGCAGTTTCTGGTGATTCAGGCTGGCAGGTTGCTCATATTAACAACAGCCAGGATTTGGGATCAGTTATGAGACCTCCCCAGAGCTGGGACAGAGGATGTGTTGTAGAGAACTTTCTTGCCAGAGCTGGGTCATTTCAAAGATCATACGAGATGCATGCATATAGTTCCTGGAAAGTCAAGCCCCAAGAAAGTATGTTCTTGTAGCTCACGTGGGGTTTTGCCATGATGTTTTTTCTTTTTTACCTCATGTCATCTGAAAGTCACTTGAATAAATGCTCTGCAAAATAAACATCAGGCATCCCTCTGACACCTCTTGTGTGGGGCTTGCTTTGGCAGCGTCTGATCTCTCGGTGGGGTCTTGTTCAGCATTGGATTAGGCAAGCCAGCCACAGGGGCACAGTGTGTTAATTCTGCCTGGATCAGAGTCCAGAATCCCTACGGCTGTTAAACGAACACATGTGTGTATCTGTGCACAGGGGGGTGTGTGTGAAACCAGCTGATGGGAGAGAGGCAGGAACTCACACTGCATGAAACGGGAGCCCTGCTCTGCCCGAAGGGTTTGCTCTTGGGTTTCTATTGGCTTCTCACCTGCTCCTGCCATCATGCAGTTGTTTCTGTATTTAAATAACAAACACAGTCGTGGTGGTTACAAAGTGGCTCTGGCATGGGGCCAGTGGTGACTTACCCTACCTATGTTCTTTGCTGGAGTTTGTCCCCATGGCTGCAGTGTGATGTGGACACAGTGTGGTGCGTGGCTGAATGATACTGTCTGGCCCCACATGGCAGTGACAGCGGTGCCGGGAAGGAGCAGAGCACGCCTGGTTTGGCTTCAGTGGCATGTGTCCGTGGCCCTGAACCGGCGAGCTGGAGTCACCAGGACACCCTGTGGGCAGAGCATCTTGTACGCTAGGAACAGCCGCCTCCTTCAACAATGTGCTGGGCTTGCTGGGGAAGTGCTCCAGCTTTGAGCTGGCGGCTCTCAGAAGCTGGTTACTTGTCATCAGAGCCCTGATGCTTTCCATGTTCCCTTGGGAAATCCAAGCGGTTGTATCAGTGACGGGGAGAGGCAGAGCCTTGTTCTCAAGTAGTGTGAATCGGTGTCACCCCCTTGTAGCTGTGGCTTGAGGTCCAAGGGCAGTGTGGAGATTTTGTTCTCTTGCTGCGTTTTTAGATGCTTATCTCGTCTCCTTTGGATAAAGCTGTGGCAATAATTTTTTTCCTCCCTGTGCATTAGTCCCTCAAGGCTTGGCTGTGGTTGCTGTGACAGCCTGCTTGGTCCCTGTTGGCTGTCATTCAGAGTTGTGCTCCCCTGGGGCTGTGGGACGCAGGTCAGGGAGCAAGATAGGCAGGGAAACCAGGAAGATTTTCAAGAGGAATGATGGCAAACATGAGCACTTGCAGGGGTTCCAGCCCTGAGATGCCAAGAGCTGTGACCTGGAAGTGTTTCTGACCATGTGCTGTTCTTGCTGATAGATCCACCACATTCAACCCCAAAGTGCTGGGCTGAGACCTCCTCGCCGGGGCTGATGCTGCAGCTGTTTTGCAGCTGGCCTGGGGGGTATCCCCACCCCACCCTGCACTGGAGAGAAGAGGGACGTGATCTGGAGAACTCAAGCTGGGTCATCAGCTCCACGAGCTCCTCGGACACCCACGTGGAAACACTGAACAGCTCCCACCTCTCCCACCGCAAAGTGTTCAAGTGTGTCGGGAGCCATGTCGTCAAGCAGGAGGAGCCTGCGTGCACTGTGGAGATAAGTGAGTTGACTTGCCTACCTTATTAACTATTAATGAGCCTGCTAATGGTGGGGCAGACAGGAACCCCAGTCATTCTCTAGACCAGGCACTAAGGCAGTGGTCAGGCAAGCCAGGCTTGCAGGCGCTTGCCGCAGGGGGAGATGCTAACGAGGCGGTGTGGCAGGGCTTGGCTTGTGCAGAGGTGACTGCGCAAGGCACAGAAGTCCTGCAGCTGAGATCCATGACGGCATAGTTGCAGGTGAGTTGTGTTTTAGGTACATCTTCAGGGGCTGACAAATCTCCCTACACCAAGTTTTTCACCTGTGCAAGCACTCGTGCCTGTGTGAAAGTGAGAGGTGGTTTTAGTGCCTTGCTCATCTTGAGATTAAGTTTGGCAGGTCTGGGTTTAGAGCAGAAGGGTCATGCATGCCCCCAGGGCCCCTTCAAGCATCTGAGGGGTCTGACTAAAGTGGGTTTTGAAAACCTGAGCTGTATTTATCCTCCAAGGGTTGTCAGGGCTACAAAAGAGCTCTGCTGATCCCAAGGAAAATTCCTGAGTTGCCTTGCTCCTCTCTGCCATCTTCCTACTGGCTACCCTCTGACCGTTCTTCCCTGGGGATATAAAGACATGTGTTTAAAAAAGGACTGAGCAACATGAAAGTTGCTCGGATCGCACCTTGGAAGACTGCTGAAGTCTCGTGAGTGAGCTGAATGCCAAACCCACAGTGCTCAAGTCCCAGACTCCTGTCTGACTTCCTTCTGTTCATGATTATTAATCAGTCAGGTGGCTGGTTGCTTGTTATGTTAAACTCCTCCATTCCCTCCTTGACTCTCTTCTTTTTCTTTTTTTTTTAACTCCTTGGGCTGTTCAGAAATCCCTTCACTGGAATCAGAGCCCCCAAAGACCTGCTTTGTGGGTGACAATGTGACGTTGACATGCCGTGTGACAGAGAGCACCCCGGCAGCGAGGCTCAGCTGGCTGCGGGGCATCACTCAGCCAGAGGTGGAGATCCAACCTGGAGGGAGGTACCTCATCGCCCAGGAGGGCAACGTGTCCCGGCTCACCATCCGGAACTGCTCCCAGGGCACCGACGGGGGCTGTTACGTCTGCAAGGCACAGAATCCTGTGGGCCTGAGGAAGTTGTTCGTCTGCCTGACAGTGAAGCGTGAGTGCGGCTGCCTGGGGTTGCTGCGGCAGGGAGTGAGGAGGAGTCAGGGACCCAGTTCATGGGGGCCATTGGTGAGCCCCCAAGGGGCTCCATTTGCCACTAAGAGCCCTCTTTGCCTGTTGACACTTTCCATACTCTTGCGGCAAGTGTAGATGCAGGACTGGCTCCCTTCATCCCAGGGTGAAAAGGCCTGATTCCCTCGCCTCGGCATGGGCCTGAGAGAGGAGCATCCTTGGTCCCTCCTGTAGGTTGTGGGCACAGAGGGGTGCCTCCAAGGCTCAAGCTGCTCAAGGTGCAATGGGCAGGGGTTGATTTGCTGTCACTAAATGAACATGGGCACAAAAATGGCCTTGCTGTGGTGTTTTCCATATCAATGAAGCACGAGCGCCTGAAACTTTAAGAGTGGTCAGGCCTTGGAACAGGCTGCCCAGGGAAGTGGTGGAGTCCCCATCCCTGGAAGTATTTAAAAGACGTGTAGATGAGGCGCTTAGGGACGTGGTTTAGTGGGCATGGTGGTGTTGGGTTGACCATTGGACTCGATGATCTTAGAGGTCTTTTCCAACCTTAATGATTCTAGAAACTCTCCCCCCTTGTGCTGGTGGGACTGTTGCAATGATGGGAAATGGGGGCTGAGGTGGCACTGCTGTATTGCTTGCACTGAGATTTCCTCATCCATCCATGTCCGGTGACAAACTGGCCTCCTGTGTCTCCTTTTCTCTCCGCAGAGCCGGTGAACATTGTTGGGGTCGTGGGTGCAGTGGTGGTCCTGTCCCTGCTGGCTGTTCTCACCATCACCGGGGTTGTCTTGTACTACAGTCCCCTCCTGTGCCTGAGAGGTAGGAGCTCTGCTCTGCACAAGCCAGGGAGGGCGTTACTCCTTCCTGGGGTGGCCTGGTTTTATCCCTAACCTGCTTGTCCCTTCTGGTGTGCTGTGACGATCACCCCACCCTTGGGCCTCATCCTGCTCCTGGTCAAAACTCTGTCAGCCCTGGAGGTAGATGGGTTGGAAGCACAAGGCCCTTCCCCAGCTGAGTGCTTCAGGCACCCTCCCCTTGCCTTCCCCAGGGAGCTGTGCTGTGGTGGGCCTTCTCCCCTTTCCTTGTGACCTTTCTGGTGCTCTCGTTGCATACGTGGGCAGGTCACCTTCACGTCCGTGCCTTTGCATGTGGCTGCCAGAGACCATCCTGCTGCAGCCAGAACTGGCAGGGGTTGTGCAGTAAAACCAGCAGCGCTGCCCAAGGGACTGCTCTGGGGACTGTTTCTAACACTGTCTTTTCCCTTCCCTTCTCTCCCATTCAGGTGCTGCATTCAGGTGAGTGTTGATTTTCCTCAGCCCAGTCCTGTGTGCCCTCCTGGCAGAGGTGATCTCCCTGTAGGGTAGGGAATCCTCCTCGGAGGCAGGAGCTGTCCCCACAGCAAAGCTGTTCTTTGGTGGGAGCTGTGCCTCCCACGGGAAGGGGACGGTGGGGATGGCTGAGGGAGCCGGAGGGTGGGGACAGAGGGGAGCACTTGGCATCAGAGCAGGAGTGGCATCGCTTTGGGATGCGCAGGGACGGTGCTGGCAAGGCACCCGTTAGGCTGTGCAGGAGAGCTGCCCCTTGGTGCAGGTGAGCCTGAGGACCTGGAGAGTAAATAGAAATGGCAATCTTGTGCCGCTCTGTGTGGTGTGTGCCCATGTCCTTCCCCCCTCGGGAAGCGTGTCTGATAGCTGTGCATGACTAGGTGCCTTCTTGGGGTTCACGGGCACCAGAATTCTTCTCTGCGTCCTGCTCGCACCCCTCCTGGCCCTGCTCCCTTCCCTTGCCCCTGGTGGTTCTGTTCCCACAGCTGTGGTGCTGCGGCATGGGCAGTTCCCCTCCAGTTCCCCATCTATACGGGAGGGGAGAATAACTCCACTCGTGCAGTTTAGTACATGAGTATTTATGAAATGGTTGGAGGACTTTGGAAGATGAATGGGAAGCAGTGCAGAATGCCGTTGGTGTTGCTGCCAGCAGGGTCTGAAACCAGCTGTTCTTCAAACACGATTAGCGCAGATTGGAAGAGTCCATCAAAACTGGTCGTTTTGGTGTAGAGGTTGTCAAAGCCAGGGGAGGCACAGGCTGGGGGCAGCAGTCAGGACAGGCTGTCCTCAGCCTTTCCGCCTACTTCTGCTTGCTCTGCTGTTCACAGGAATCAGAACTCAGGTGATGTCTTAGTGCTGGTGGACTCAGAAGATGACGATGAGGGGAAGGGGGAAGAGGAGACCATGAGCAGCTCCACCAAGCACGAGGCGATGGCGCTGGTCAATGGGAACAGCATCCAGGCTGCTTACCTCAACTGCCTTATGGAAGGTGAGCCCGGGTGCCTGCCTGCTGGCCGAGTTTTGGGGCCGGAGCTGCCTGCTCTCCAGCAAAGCTGTGTGTTGTCCAGCAGCAGCTGCTGGGGGAGGGAGGAATTCCTGTTGTCTGGCTTGTTGGCTCTTGCTGAGATGCTGCTGCTCTGTGCCCTGCGTAGGTGACGATGGCAAGCAGCACAGCGGGGTCTCTCTGCAGGAAACGAGGGGAGAAGAGGCATGAGGCACCAGTTTCCACCCCTTCTTGCAGAAGCACACAGAGCTCCGCCTGGACACCCAGTGTCAAGCCCGTCCTTGTTGCCGTGTGGCTGAGCGCAGGCCACACGGGCTGGTTTGGTCAGAGCATCCCCACTTCCTTCTCCACTCGCCCCTTCCCCAGCTTTTACTCCGTCCTTCCCCAGCCATGTTTTTCCGTTTCTTCTCTCCTCTTTTCACCTTCCTCTTTGTCTCAGGTGTCCTTTTTAACAAGGTGGCACCCAGTGCAGGCAGAGGTCGGGAAGTGGGTCCCAGTAGCCCGCTCATCTTGATGCCTGCGAGGGACTCGAATACCAGTACGGGATCCTGGCCTAGTCACCGTGAGCGGTGCTGGCGTTGCAGGAAGCCTGATGGAGAAGGTCGCTGAGGGGCCGCAGTGGTCCCAGGGTAACGGAAGAAACTGGTGCGCGGGCAGGACGTGGGTGATGCTGAGTCTAGGGAGCCTTAATTGGTTTTTTTGTTATAAATATTTTTTCCCCAAGTCCATCTGAAATGTTGCTCCGTATCTAAGTCGGGAGTTAATCTGTACCTTGCGGTGTGGTTTTGAGGGGGATGCCTGGCCGTGATGGAAAGCACGGAGGGAGCTTGTACGGGGCGGGGGGACGAGGGGAGCAGGATCCGCACAGAGAGGATCAGGGCAGGCGTGGAGGGGAGCTGTAGGGTGGGTATCAGAAGGGCCAGAGCGTGCAGGAGGGGACGGAAGGACAGATCAAGTCTGAGCACCCTGCAGGGGTAACTGGAGGGATTAAAAAGGCACACCAGGGGCAAGGGAGAGGAGGAGGAGAGCAGGGATCTGCGCTTGCATGGAGGGAGAGGGAGGGGTTCGACACACACGCATGGGAATGGCCAAAGAGAGCAGGATGGGGTGGAAGGGAGGTTGGAGGGGGGCGGAGGGCTCTGCAGGAGGGCAGCAGAGGAATAAACTGCGTAAAGTGGGGAGTGGTATGAGAGAGTGCATTGAAGGTGGTGGAGAAGTGAGTGCACACAGGGGATCTGCGTGTGTCTGGAGGGTAACGGGGGGACGTGAGCACAGGCACAGGGGGAAAGAAGGAGACCTGACGGCACGTAGAGTGGAAGGGAGGCACTCCAGGGGCACACAGAGAGGAGCAGCGTAGGCACCGGGGGTGAATCGGCGGGGTCTGAGCCGTCCCTGGGGTGTGGGTTAGAACAGTGTGAGGTGGAGGAGAGCTGAGGGGGTAGGGGTGGG